TGTGTTTTTTACAGCATGTTATGGTTGTTTCTTGAAGTGACCCCATGTCCTCCAGTGGTCATAGGTGGAGCTTTTTGGAGGTAGCTGAATCTGGAGTATGTAATGATGGGATCAAGGGTATGTGATGACTAAATTACTTTTCTGAATGATTTGGCATAGATATGGGTAGGATTAAGGGTGTGCCACCCTAAGTGTAAGTGCTATCAGCCCTAAGGGTGGGCAGCCTGAATATAAAATAAGGCACAGAATGAGGTTCTCTGGTCCCTTGTCCCTTGGCACTTGCTACTTCTCTGCTGGCTGCCTTTTGCCTCCTCTTTGCCATGGACTCTTTCTCCTCTGTGATGACCCTCTGCCATGTCACCCTGCTTGGAGCTAGCCAACTATGGACTGAAACTTCTACAAACTGTGAGTCAGAAATAAACCTTTACTCTTATAACTTTGAGTGTTGAATATTTAGTCTCCACAACAAGAAAAGAAAAGAAGACATACCATAATATTTGGTAATATTAGAAAATTCTGTTTTCCCACTCAATTAACCCTCTACTCTCAAAGTAAACTATTCTATCCATTAGCACATTTGAAAAAAGCAATGTAGGACTGTCACCACCCCTAGGCAGAGGAGATCACTTTCTCATTAATGTCTTTGTAAACATATCTCATTTGAAGCACTTGAGGTTCCTCTTTCTGTAGATCTATTACTTAGAGTAATCATGGGAGCCATACCAAGGCCTTCTGGACACCCATGAAGTCAAAATTGAAAAAAAAAACAAAACTGGAAGTCAATAATTTTGCCAGCTGTTACCCAAATTAGGAAGAAGATAAGTGCTCAGTGGACTTCAAGTTTGTGGCTATGAAGTTTACCTTGGAAGAGTAGGCTCTGCCGGATCCTTCACAGAAGAAACTCTACAAAGTTGTGATAAGTGAAGCCATAAGGAATCTGGCTGCTGTGCAGGGAAAATAGAAAGACCAAAGCACTAAAACTGTGGACACAAAGCAAGAGATAAAATGGAACTCTAGAAGAGGTAGCCATTAGAAAGAGGAGGAGAAGGAAGAGGAGGAGGAGGAGGAAGAGGAGGAGAAGGAGGAGGAGGAGGAGGAGGCAGAGAAACATAAAACATGAAGAATACAAGCAATTTTTGAAGACACCACTTCACCCAATTTTTTTTGTATGAAAACATTATTCTAAACACATGAATTACCAGAAATAAACTTTTAAAAATCCCCATAAAAAACTCTGAATAATATAATAAAAAGCAGTGAAAATTCAGGCAATAATAAAAACAGCAACAAAAAAACCTATCAAAGAGGAATAGCCCAAGACCTGATTTACAACTAAATTCTATGGACTCAGGGAAGCTGTAACACTAATTATCCTCAATCTCATCAATGAAATTTTAAGAGAAACATTGCTAATCCTAAAAGTTCTTTTACTATGGTGAAGAGTTGATCTTGCTTGCTACTAAGGACATGTGTTATAAACTGTTAGTAGAGACTGCTGCTAAAAAGTTATTATGTAATACTGCTTTCATTAGCACCCCACCTACACAAATTGATGACAATATCTAGATTACCTTGGGGGTCACTAAAAATACTGCTTCCCATCCAAGGAGAATTTAGTACTGGGCCACATGCACCAAGACCTCTCACTTCAAGTAAATTGGAGGAGTTTGGATCCTGGAATAGAGGCAAAGCTTAGTGGTAAGCCACACCCAGAAGACGCCACTGAAAAGTAAACTTTAACTAAACAGGTACTCACAGTGTAAGCAAAACTTTTCTCAATGATAACCCCATAAGCCTCAGCAAAAAGTAAATAAAAATAAAATTATGAGAAGACAAACCAACAAAGTGCCTCCAAAAACTTCTAACTACCCAAAAGCTGATCCATGATGTATCAAATGGGAGAAAACCAAAAGGGTCACACTTGAATCCCTTGAATTATTCAAAAGTATCAGGAGAGATAACAAAACAATTCCATAAGGCTTTTGGCAATTCCATAAGGCTCATGTCTTACAGAAGACATGAGTTCTAATTTATTGGGCCAATAAAAATCATCAGTGACTCTAAAGAAACTAATAAAAAGATAGAAGAACTAAACAAAATGATGCAAAACATGCATTACCAGCATAGAAAAAATTAGAGTACATAAAAGGACACCCAATATAAATTCAGGAGATTAAAAATTGCACTGAAAGTGTGGGCAACAGAAGAGACTATTGTGAGGACAGAGCCTACAAACTAGAAGATGGGGCTGCTGTCTGCTATCAATTGGTGAGAGATGTCTTGAAACATCAAGAGGACAAGAAAGATGGATCCAATAGTTGATAGATGATGCAAAGAAGACTAGTCTAAGACTAATTGAAATTAGTGGAAAATGAGGAGATACTACAAATGGCTTTTTAAAAATATGTTCACTGATACAATCATCAAAATATTTCCAAGTAAGGTAAAGAATATAAGATACACTTAAGTGAGCCTCAAATAGCCACAATGAGAAAAGAATATTTTCAGGACACATCATAGCCAAAATCCCAGAAATCACTAATAAACTCAAATTTTAAAATAAAACCGATCAATCACTCAATAATAAAGTGGTGCTGAGTTTGCATTACTTCATATTTCAACATCTACACCCTGAAGAAATCAAAAGACAGCCTCTTCTCAGCATTTCACTGAACATCTTTTCCTTTTCAGAAAGACCTGCCATACCGGAGGGCCTGCACAGTGTCCCCCACAGCACTCAGTGAGCACCCTGTGACAGAGGAGCGCCATTACTGCATTATTTATGCGTTTGTATATATTAGATGTAGGGATAATCTTAAAAGCAACTTATTATGTTGTAAAAAGAAGTAGAAGTGTGCATTCCATTTTCTGCCACTAACCATTTCAAGATGTCAGTGGCATGCTGGCATGTTTTGTATTTTCTATGGTTTTCAAGAGTATATTACAGCTCTGACTATAGCATTTATTTAGCGCCATATTCTTGTATTTTATTTAGTAAAAAGAAAGTAGATGATACAAAAGTCTTCTACACAAATTATCCTTGGGAAAAGTATAGTTCAGTAAAACTAGTAAGCAGTATTTGAATTTGAGTTTTGACTTATGCTTTAGTAAATTCAGAGCAGGTATAAGATTCTAATGCCATAAGAACTTGCTTTACTTCAGTAAGATTTGCTGACTATAATGCAATTTTAAGACTTCCAACAATGTTCTTTGAAAATACACTGAGTGGCCTGACAGAAAAATGAAGTTTTTGTCAACATAGCTAAGTGTTATTTGGACTATTGCTTTAACTCCCAAATTAAGAAATGAATTATATTATATTTATCCTAAATATTGTCCATTTGCTACTATATTTGAAAGAAAGATTTCAAGCAAAAAAAGATATATATTCAAAATACATCTAACTCTAAAAAATTTAAATTCTGTATTTTTATTCTACTCATATAATAACATTATACTTTCAATAGATTATTTTAAAATACTGTACCAAAGTCATATGTGAATGAATTAATAAGTTCACATTTTAATGCAACACAATACCACACAGACACATAGAACTTCCAGGAGGAGGTTTAATTTGACTCACGGTTTTATAATTTCAGTCCGTGGCTGGCTTCAAGGTAGAAATATGGCAGAAGAGCCTGTTGCAGCAAAACAACTTAGTCTGTGGCACTTGGGAATCAAAGAAAGGAAACACTGTCCTAGAGAGGGATGGGCTGGGTACAGCCAGGCCATGCTTCAGTGGCTTATGCAGATGTAGTCCTAAATGTGATGCATTAATTCCCCATGGTGTATCCCAAACACAGAATACTAGAATCCACCATAACGGCCACACCCAAACTCGTGTCAATTTCATACCAAAAAACAACACTTTAAGCCATACTTAATCCACAGACAAGGACCGTAGGAAGTATAGCATAGAACACTTAAGAAATAAACTTATATGTATTGTCATTTCTGGCTGCTCACTTAAATTATGGTTGAATTAAGGATATTGTCCTTCTGATCCATCATGTCCCTGCACACTGCAACTACAGATACACGAGTCAGTGAGGAGAAAGAGTCTTAGAGGAAATATTTTCTACTCAACACATTAAAATAACCTTTCCAATATTAAAATGATACTATTTATCTTAAAAGTCTTACCTGATACCCAGAGTACAGGGGACAGGGTGAGTTGGGGCTATGACAACATGCTGCTTCCTTTCCCATCACAAGGCACACAGATCCCATCCCACTGAACCCTCAGTTAGAGACTCTAATCAGTGCCATGACCAATCCAGTGGAGTCTGCGTGACAATGCCGGTCACCTGGCAGAAACCAGACCCGAGGTATCGTCCCCACGGGGTTGAGCCTCCTGGAAGTCCTTGGCACACACCGCATGCAAAGTCAGCCATGAAGAGAATAGCTGGCCTCTCTGCCTGCAGTTTGGGGACATTGGGTTCATTTATAATTCTGTTCTATTTTGTCTTTATTACTATTTGTTCATTATCTGTAGAATTGTATTCTGGGCCCAGGAAAGGTTAGGAACAATTAGATGTTCCTAGAGATGGGGAGGTATTGAGGCACAAGAGGATGGGCGGCCAAAGTGCTGACCCTGAGCCCCGGACTGTGAAGTCCTGAAAGTGATCCTGAAGGTGACATGCTGAAGCCAGTCTTTTGTTTTACAAATTTCCCCTTCTGACTGCGTATAGGTGTGGTCTTACCTTGACTTAATGGTCTTAGCTTTTGTGATGGTATATAGGTGTGGTCTTACCTTGACCTTGTGGTCTTAGTTTTTACAGTACTATTGTCTCTTTCTCATGCCTGCCTGTGACTGAAATAACTCTTGAGGTGTGCCCTTGAAACTAGTATATAAACACCTAGAGTTAGAAATAAAATTGCAGCAGCATTTGCAAACTTCACCTCGGTGTTGAGTGCTTTTGTCTGACTGTCATCGCCGAACCTGCTCCCACCTTTCAGAGAACCTGTATCTCCTCGTGAAATCCCATGTTTGCTGCCCCACGGTCGGTAGCAAATCAGCCGGGTTAGAGCCCAAGGAGTCTGTGCAAAGCACACGTGGGTGTGGAAATCAATGTGCACAGGAGGTGAGTTCTGAGGAGAAAACACAGAAAAAGGAAATAAAATCTTCCTTACCCAAGGAACTATAGTTTTATGCATAGTAAAGATAAAGAAATTAATTTAAAGCATAATTTAAAAGCATAATTGTGATTTTTTTAGTAATGTAACACAAAATTTCCAAATGAAAAATGCTTTTATTATCAATTGTGCTGTGTTGAACAAGCTACAATTTTAAAACATGAATTGGTTTGTAACAGGAGACATGAAACTGTGGATATAATTATGAAACCTGCATTGATATCTGTACATGAAGTATGCTTCTCTTCACTTGATGGAGTAAGAACAGGGTATCCTTTTCTCCATCTCTGCCTTATTTTTTTGACTTTAAATAAACATTCAATTTATTCTTACGCACTGCAGAGACATCTCAGAACTTCCACACCAGAACCCTGATGATCCCCTCAGCACAAACACAGCGAGTCACCACATTCTCAGGAGTCACCCTTACCACTGCTCTTCAGGTCAATCATTTTCTTCAGCAAGAACTCAAGTCCTCTAAAAGCCTTCTTTCTCTAACACGGCTAAAGGTGTCACAGCTCCTCCTGGCGGTAATAAGTGAAACGGCTTCAGGTCCTGAGCTCTGTGGAAGTAATTGTTAATATTTAAACACCACCCTAACATTATAAAATTATGCAGTTGCCTCAAAAAGAGAACTACAGGCCAATCTCCTTAATGAATATAGATGCAAAACTCCTTAAGAAGATAGGAGCAACCAGAATACAGAGGATTATCAAGAAGATCATACATCCTGACCAAGTCAGATTTATTCCAGGGATGCAAGGGTGGCTGAACATATGTAAGTCAATAAATGTAATACATTATATTAACAAATTCAAGGACAAAAAAACCATATGATCCTCTCAATACATGCAGAAAAAGCATTTGACACAATTCAACACCCATTCATGATTAAAAAACCCTGCAAAAAATTGGAATAGATGGTCTATATCTCAATTTAATAAAGGATATCTATGAAAAACCAACAGCCAGCATCATATTAAATGGCCAAAAACTGAAAACCTTCACGTAAAAATTAGGAACAAGACAAGGATGCCCACTATCACCACTCCTCTTTGATATAGTTCTGGAAACATGAGCCATAGCAATTAGACAAGAGAAAGAAATTAAAGCAATAAAGATAGGAAAAGAAGTTAAACTGTCATTATTTGCTGATGATATGATACTTTACCATTGAAGACCCAAAAAATTCCACCAAAAGACTTCTAGACTTAATTGACAGATTCAGTAGAGTAGCTGTACACAAGGTGAACACCCCAAAATCAATAGCCTTCTTGTACACAAATAACAGACTCACTGAGAGAGAAATTAGGGAAACAATTCCCTACACAATAGCATCCAAAAAAATGAAGTATCTAGGAATCAATCTAACAAAAGAAGCAAAAGATCTCTACACTGAAAACTATAGCACTCTGAAAAAAGAAATTGAAGAGGATTAAAAAAAATGGAAAGATATCCCCTGCTCCTGGGTAGGAAGAATCAACATAGTGAAAATGGCCATACTACCAAAACTGCTATACAGATTCAATGCAATGTCAATTGAAATTCCAACACTATATTTCACAGAACTAGAAAAAAGAATCCAAAATTTCATTTGGAACCAGAAGAGACCTAGAATAGCAAAAGCCATCCTAGGCAACAGACCCATGGCAGCGGGTATAACAATTCCCAATTTGAAACTATACTACAAAGCTACTGTGATAAAAACAGCATGGTACTGGCAAAGAAACAGGGCTGAGGATCAGTGGAACAGATTGGAAGAGACAGAAACAACTCCAGATGTACTCAGCTACCTCATCTTTGACAAAGGGGCTGACCATCTTCAGTGGAGGAAAGATAGCCTCTTTAATAAATGGTGTTGGAAAAACTGGATTTCAACCTGCCACAGATTAAACCTGGACACTTATCTTTCACCATGCACTAAATTAAAATCCAAAAGATTAAAGATCTAAATATTAAAACAGAAACACTAAACTTGCTCTAAGGTAAGTTAGGCAGAACTCTGGAAGACATTGGCATAAGAAAATACTTTATGAACAAATCCTCAGTAGCATGGGAACTAGCAGAAAGAATCAACAACTGGGATCTCATTTATTAAAAAACTTCTGCACTGCAAAAGAAAACATCAACAGAACTAAGAGACAACCTACAATGTGGGAAAAAATTTTTACCAGCTGTTCCTCAGACAAAGGACTATTATCTAGAATCTATAAAGAACTCAAAACAATCAGCCCCCCCAAATATAAAGACCCATTTCAAAAATGAGCATCTGAAATGAACAGATATTTCTCAGACAAAGTAAAAGCAGCAAGAAAATATATGAAAAATGCTCCACATCACTGGGCATTTGAGAGATGCAGATGAAAATAACACTGAGATTCCACCTCACCCTACAAATAATGGCTGCTATCAAGAAATCAAACAACAAAAAATGTTGGCAGGGTTGTGGGGAGAAAGGAACCCTTCTCCATTGTTGATGGGAGTGCAGACTGGTGCAACCACTGTGGAAATCAATATGAAGATACCTCAAAGTGCTCGGACTGGAGGTTCCATTTGATCCAGCCATCCCTCTGCTGGGTATCTTTCCAAAAGAACTAAAAGAATCATGTCGCAGTTATGTATGCACACCCATGTTTAAAGCGGCACAGTTTGAAATAGCTAAAACTTGGAAACAGCCCATTTACCCCTCAGTTGGAAACTGGATAAAGAAGATGTGGTTTTTCTATAAAATGGAATATTACTCAGCCATAAAGAAAGAGGAAATAGATTCATTCATAGTAAAATGGATACATATTGAAGATATACTCCTAAGTGAAATAAATAAGTCACACATGTGTAAATACAAAATAGTTTCTCTGGTGTGAATAAACTGCAATAATACATAAGATCCAAATTACTGACATTGTGAAATGGGAAGAAAGGGGCTAAAGGTTTAGGGAAGGTGGGATGGGTAGGGGAAGGTTAATAAAAGTACAAGAAAAAAAGTGAGATAATGAAAAGATGGAAATAAAGTGTTTGTAGATGGGGAGGGGAGGAGGGGGTAAAGGGAGGGCAGGGACAAGGG